GTGTTTGCTGTTCTAATAAATCGTTCATGATGTCCACAGAACCTGTCTCATTATACAAATTACATATGTAGATGTTTAATATAATATGCATTTCTCAGTTTGACAGCACTAAATGTATTTGTATTGCATCTTAATAATTTTTTACAAAATATGCAAACATTTTGGCCAAACTGTAATTAAAACTGCAACTTTTCAGCTAATAAAATCGGGCCACCTTCCGGCTATAGTTTGCAGTTTTAATTACTCAAAAGAAACATTTCCACTTTAGCTGTTCACGACATTATATGAATCACTCAGCAGATTCTCATCTTTTAACATAGCAATATACTTCGACTTCTAAATTATCTATTCTGTACATTCTAACACAAACTTGAAACCTTCCTACCTTGGCTGCGTAGAACAGGACCTCCAAGAGGACAGCCAGGTAGCGCTACCAGTAACAAAAACATTGTTAAAGCCGCAGTCTTCATGCTTGGATTTTCGTCACTGAATAGAATAGATAAGTACTCTGGATTATTTTAACTTGCTAAGATCACAATTGAAGTTACTGAACGTTTATCATTGAAAAACGTCAATAACTTTTGATCTTAATTTGTGGGTTTTATTGAAACGCTTAATTGTTAAAAAAAAATACTCATTATAATAAGACTCGGTAACATCTCCGTGAAATTTCAGGTTTTATAGTTTAATTAAGTCTTTTTTTTAACTTTTAGTCATTTTTAAGATAGTTTTACGAAACGGTGTTTAAAGAAATGTGTAATTCTTTATTATTAACTTTTTGACCATTAAGTAAACATATCAAAATAATTTAGTCCTAAAGATGACAGTTTTTTATTGTCGCACTGTGGGTCAGCGATAAGTTTCAGGACTTGTAACGCTAAAATCCGTGGTTCGGTTCTCCGCAGTGAATTAAGCGCAGATAGCCTGTTTGCGCTAAAGAAAAAAGCGACAACTTCAACTTAAGTTTTATTTTCATGGATTTCGCTTTCGTATTTCTGTGGATGTAGAAATCGTATCGCAAAAAAGATATATTATTTCAATAAAGTTTCTGACGTATTCAAAATATGATCTATGTCAAAATATATAACTTTATTCTGTATTATCCATTACTGAAAACATGGTTCGTAAGGTTTATTAATGCTATGAATTATTTTGTATTTAAGGTAATATTGTTAGGGAAAATAGATTTGTATGATAAAACTCCAGTTATATTTTCAACAATAATCTTAAGCAGCCAAATTAATTATAAGTGAACTGTATGTCTCTAACGTAGAACTACTAAAAGCATGCCCCCCCCCTCCAGTGGCACAGCGGTATGTCTGCGGACTTTTACTGCTAAAAATCGGGTTTCGATACCCGTGGTGGGCAGAGCACAGATAGCCCTTTGTGTAGCTTTGTGCTTAATAACAAACGACAACTAAAAGTATGTATTTAATGAATGTTTGCTTTCTCAAGATACCTCTTTAATCATGTTCTGTTCTACAAAAAACTTCCTATTTTATAAAATTATAAATGTATACAGATTTCAGAAAAAGATGCATACCAAAATAACTTTTATGAAATTTTCGAGTTTGATAAAAAAAAAAAACTAAGACTCTTTAACAGAAAAACCAGTAATTTCTTTACAAATTTAATATATTTCATTTAGCATCACATACAATAATCAAACGTAACTTGTATGCGTGTTTGTTAGATGGGCCTAAAACGTACTTCCCTTATACGTTTTATACTTATACTTCCCTTATAACTGTCCGTTTTATTTCATTTCAACATTCTACTGAAAATTACACAAGGGCACAAAGTCGTCCCTAATTTAGAATTGATAGTGTAGAGGGAAACAGCTAGTCAACAACATTTACCGCCGACTTTTGAGCTAGTTTTGTTTGATCGAATAATGGGATATGACGGTCTGCCAGTGTCGGCGTTCTCGAAAAACGAGGCGCGTTTATGCGGCAGTGGGCTACTAACCATGAGTCCTCTAATTCGCAGTCTGGGCACGCTAATCATTAGGTCATGCTCGACCACTGTTATAAACCAAAAGTCGTTAGTTTTTAATGTCGGTTAGTATGCGTGAAATTATATACAAGTAGTTTAAAAAATTGCAAATAACCTTGTATCATAGAAGAAACTGAAAGTGGGGAGTTTTTATATCTTATGCAAGTATTTTAATTTCAAACTTGAGTTGTAATGTAATGGTTAGGGGAATTGTTATCAATGAGATAAAAAAGTATAAATATTTCTTTGGCTAAAGCGTTAACATTTAAAGAACTAATCCATCAAGTCTTTCCAAATTAAAACTTAAATAACTGTTTTACCCATCGTTTGAGTGAGTATTCATATTTTTAGTGTTGAAGTACAGGTAGCATTGTTACTCTAGAGTATATAAAAATATGTTAAAGTCTAAGCTGGCAATTGTATAGTTATGTAACACTTGTGTGTTATTTACCTATTCTACTTATTCATTGCCCGGCATGACCAGGTGGTTAGGGCGCTTGACTCGCAATCTGTGGGTCGCGGGTTCGAATCCCCCCTCACACCAAACATGCTCGCCCTTTCAGCCGTGAGGGCGTTATAATGTAACGGTCAATCCCACGATTCGTTGGTAAAAGAGTAGCCCAATAGTTGGCGGTAGGTGGTGATGACTAGCTGCCTTCCCTCTAGTCTTACACTGCTAAATTAGGGACGAAAGCGCAGATAGCCCTCGTGTAGCTTTGCTCGAAATCCATAACAAACAAACTTATTCAGACTTTCCTTCATAGCATTATGTTGAATTGCTTTAAGTTTACCATACCCACCAAGAC